CCCTGTTCAATGTAGGAAAAATTTTTCTGATGTACAAAATAGATCTTTCTCTATGTATTTTGCGTCTCTGAGTCCGAAAATGGCCTCCATTTTTTTATATGAGCCCTTCATTTTCTAAATAAGACATTTTTTTCCGGGCAACCGGGTGAAATTGACTAATTTCAGTCAGGTGTCAAATTTTTATTTTATTAATTATCCTGCTTCTGTTAAGGAGAGATCTTCATGTTCTCTCAAATGCTGAATCAGAATATGACCTCAAATTTTTTTCATCGCCCTCAATTCCGCCGGAAAAGTCGATTTTTCTTGGAAAACAAGTTTTCTGGTATTTTTAAATCTTTCCTGGAAAATCAGGTTTTCGCAAAAATGGTGGATGGTAACAAATTTCTAAGGTCATATCAGGGTTTTTCAGCTCAAATTACATGGAAATTGATGCATCAGACATGCGGTAACATTTTCAAATTTTCTTTGAGGTGGGAACAGTCCGGAAAAGCTTTTTTCCCGGAAAAATTGGACTTCCTAGAAAATGAGGGGTTTTCATAGACAACTGGATGTCTAATTTGGGTTCAGCTGCTCTTAATGCAGCAAGAGAGACCTAAATTGGATCTCGGAAAGTTTCTTGGACTCCTCACAACCGGAAAATCGTCGATAAAACACCGAAAAGGTAGTTTTCGAGGAAAATCGATTATTCCGGCAAAATAGTGCAAGGTAGGAAAAATCCAAGGTTTTATTCGGGTTCAGTGAGTCAAAATACATTACAATCGATGTATCGCACATCGCGAACATTTTTAAAAAGTATTTTTAATACACTTTGAGTCCGGGAATTACACACGGATCTAGGCTCGGAAAAATCGACTTAACCAGAAAACTGGGTTTTTTTGGGGGGATGAGGGGAAAAATACGCTACAGTGCCCCCATCATGAAGGTCGCCGAAACACCCCCCATGAAAGGGGCCCACCGAATACCGGGACGGCAACGGCTATCAGCTGGTGTAGAGCCGTCGAAGCGACCCCTAACCGACCCGACCTCTGTGAGATGGGAAAACTCGGTTATGTGGGGGTAGAGCACGCCGCTGTGTTCCCTACCCACTAAACGACCCCTCCAGGCCACACCCCGTGCAAGTGTGGCCCATCGGACGCTCTATCCTCCCGTCGGACGTCCCTAAGGCACTCTTCGAACGGCAGTCCCCGACCCCGGCGCCCCTCAGGCCCCCCACTTGGGGGAGGGTCCCCCCATCCCCCGGGACCGATCTGCCGAAGCCATCATTGTACCTGGAGTCAAGGGCGTAGGAGGACAGCCGAGGCCCAGCTTGCGCCAAACCCTGCGACAACCCCACGGCAGGGCTCTGGAGCCGAGGACTGGAGGGCAGACCAGCTACGTCTCGCTCAGCCCTCGAGGCACCCGATCTTATGCGGTCCCAGAAGGGGGCAGCCTACACATGACTCAGCTTCGCGGGTGCGTCGAACCCGATATCCCCAATTGGATAGCCTGCGGTAAAACGGGGGGTTGATGATTCAAAACCGAGGTCATATTCGGATTTTGCAGTCTGAAATGCATAAGAATCAATGTACCACGGGTCCAGAAAAATGTATACAAATAAATTGCATGCATGACAAATATACGTCAAATTGCTCATCAAAAAGCCGCTTTTCCGGAAAACTGAGAGGTGGTAGGGAAAAATGAGGGTCATTTTTGGCTCAGAATATATCGGAATAGCCCTATCTCATACCTGATAAACAATTTGACTACAATCTGGAAGGGGTAACAGTCGTTAAAAACACCAAAAATTGCCATTTTTCCGGGTAAAATCGACTTTTCCGGAAAACTGGAAGACGATAAAAAAAACGGAGTTCATATTCGGATTCAGCGCCTCAAAATACATAGGGTTCACTTCATCTCGTCTGGGAGACATATTTGTTCTTTTTTTTTTGTTAAACAGTGTTAGTTGTGGAAGAAGTGGAGCAGTGAAGTTAAATTACATGTAAAAAAAAATCTGAACGGTAAAGTAATATTGTCGGTAAAAATAGTCAAGCTGTAAATTCATATCAGTGGTTTAAAAAAAGTCAAGCAGTAAAGTCGTATTAATGGCAAAGAAAAATAAGTAGTAAAGTCGTTTGCACAGTGAAAAAAAGCAAGCGTTAGAGTCATGGTTGCGGTAGGAAAAGTGGTAGAAAGAAGATCGGGCTTTGCCTGTAATGGCGTTGGGCGAACCTCGGGATCTTCCGGTAACATGTAAATAATAATGCATGATAGTGAATTGTGGAGAATCAGGTAGAAAATTTTTAAATAGTTACGATGCTCATACTTCTTTTAAAATGGTTGATATGATTTCAGGAATAATCCGTTTTGCTCCTTGAGTGAATTGAAAGGTTTTGAGTTACCAGACTTCATGTTAAACAAAGTCCGAGCATGTTTAAGTTACAGCAATCCCATCAGTATTGATGACAATGAAAATCCTCTGGAGGTAAATTTTGTTTTATATCCCATTGATTTTAGTATCCACAGGTTGAGATCAGCCGTTCAGTTTTCTTCCAGTAAATTAATGCCAAAAAGAGTTCTCATCAAAGCTTTATCAAGATTCGAAGAATGAAATAAGTCTACATTCTCAGAGTTCAAATCAAATTTACTAGGTTTAAATGGTGTGATGATAGATTGAAATTTAATTACCTACCATGAAGTTAAACTACAATCTGACTTGATGTAATAAGTCTCAAGATTTGAGATTTAACCAAAGAGCTCAGCACATGCGCAAAGAAGACTTCTAAATACATCTAAAGTTCCACCTTAATTGGAAGTTTCACCAAAGAGAGATGAAGCAAAGCGTCTAAAGAACTTTGAAGAAAGCTTTAAAGCCCTGCTAAAATCACAATTAGGCTTAAAAATATTTTTAAAGGAATCAATTTAAATGCGGTCCCAGTTTGATTTACTCTTTCAGAATTATTAAGTGGTCTGTAACAGACTTGAGAATATCATGGTCCACGCTAGAGTTCAACTAACTTGTAGCTGAAAATTTGTGGTATTCTACTGAGATGAAAATTGGTAGAAAGATGTAGGTAACTTGCCTGCCTGTAAAAGAATCTGTGCAGGTGAGAGGGAAAATCACAAATATCGTTTCTTAGTTTGTAACTGTTGCAGTATTCTGACACAAATTTAGGCTGCTCCATACTTCATCATTAGTTGTTTAATCTTCTTTTATCTTCTGTTCCTTACTCTAGATCAATGCAACATTGAATTTAGCAATAGACTATATCACTTCTATGACACCTCCCTTCTGCTCTCTTGATTCAGGTATGAATTTCAATCTTTTTTAGGACCAAACACTTTTGATATGAATGTTCCATACTGACCCGTGTGACTTTAATTAATGATGTTTTTGAAACATTTGTGGCCTGAACTAGAAAGCTCGTTAATAAGCACAAACTTTATAAAACTTATTACTTTCCTAGAGATAGGCTTTCCTAGGGTTCTTAAACATAAATATTGTTGGTCCAGTTCTAGTATTTGGCTCACAAAGAATACTTCCAAAGCGGCCGCTGTCCCTGAACAGCTCAAATTTTTCCATGGGGTCTTTTGATTACATATTTCTTTAGACTCTCGGTTTTTTTTCCAAAGCGGCATAGAAGTAGCTTGAAAATTCTATACATTTGTGAATTAGCGGGTGCCAAATAAAATCTTATTCAGCAAGTGCATTAAAAAACAGTGATTGGATCTCTAAGAAAATATTTCGTTGCCTCCTATAGCAAGCCCTATGGGGCCGTGGCACAGACCTTGGCAGGTACAGGAACATTGCAAGTCTCAGGTTCAAATATTTTCGAGTTGCTTATTATTTCACAACGCCATTGCATTCTCTCAAGTCTGCACCAACTCGCTTGCAGCTCTTGTTACATTTAAATACTTGAACTGAGCAATTTATCCAATCTCCATTATGATCTCTCTCAAATTCATCAAAAACTCTTTGGTGTTGATGGTAATGTAAACCTTCGTTAATTTCTTATGCATGCAAGTTTCAAAAATGGAATTTTGTGAAAAGATCTTGTATTCCCCAAAGTTTTTCCCACAAGATTTTTTCCTTTTGATACAAGTCATGCATACAAAATTGCATAGTGTGTAAAATTGGAGGCGGTATTTGAAGTCTAGAGTTTATCTCAAGGGAAGGGTCTTTCCTCTAAAATTTGGCTGTTGCACCTTTTTTTATAAATAAATTTTCGAAAATAATAGGCCGCGGTGTATTATTTCACATCTTTTTCTCTCTTTACTTTTAAATGGCCACTGTAACAAGAGTTGATCGTCTTGACCATGTTTGCCCTATTATCACCATTTTAGGTGAATATTTATGTAACATTTTTGAAATGAAATTGTTGTTCGCGATTTTAGTCGTAGAGCAGCCATGTTGCATTGGGTTCACATTGATTATCATTGGTTGTTGCCTCAAATGACATCATAAGCTTTTGGCGAATTAGGTACATTCTTTTCATGCTTTCAATTTTCAACCTCTTTTTTCGGCCACAAAAACTTCTTTGAGCCTTTAAATACTCAGAAATGCGTGTCTTGCTGTAATTTGCTGTAGTTACTCTTACTACCAAGATTTTTACTCATTTTTAATGATTTTTTATTTCAGCATGAATTGATTATTTATTTAAAGTGCCCCATCATTTCCTGTATGATGAAGAAGTTGATCTGAAAGTGATGATCCCTTGTAGGACTCATTAAAGTGTTGCTTATCTGGAGTAAAACTGAAAATTTATGATGAAATGTTGTCAATTAGTTCCATTTCAAGACACAAAGAAACGACAGAATTTTATGGCATGTTTGCATTTCTAAAACGCATCCCAGGTGTATATGACTGGATTCCCTCCATTTAAAGCAATTTGTTTTTCTGCAAAGTTTAAAACGTTCGCGTACCCTTTGGAAATTCGATTTTTAGGCTCAATTTTTTTCGTACATTTTCAAGACAGTACATTTTCGTACATTTCAAGTGTAATTAATTGGGATCAGAGGAGCTGGGAGAAATTAAACGGATTATCATAGTCTTAGATCCACCCCAAATAAACAGCACCTTCCCTCAGGACCCAAAGATCCTGGTTGGAATCTACATTTGTCCAATGCAAATCTTAAAGTTAATTTTGTAATTGAAAGGAGTAGGTTAGTCCAGGCATAATGCAAAATTTCAATGAAAAAATTGCTAGCCAGTCAATTTTAGGTTTTTTGGCTTCAGCTTAGGTCCCCTGATGTCTGGGAAAACAGTCTCCAAGATTTGGAGGTGAGCTTGCCAATTTAGAGAAGGAAAAGGGCCCATAATGGCCCAAAAAATCGGCCGGTCGGTCGGCACTCGATGGGCCTCTCAAGTTTCATTGATAATAATATCTCGGCATCATGGGTCCCGAAAAACAGTCGGTCCAGTGGCAGTGTTTTCCACGTGTCCATCATGAAGTTACTGCCTTAAATTGTTCAAGATCGTTAGGCATTTTTTAACCCTTTCCACTCAGGTGTCGAGCAGGACTCGACAAATGTCCTGTAGGGGTTCCGCTCAGGTGTCGAGCTGAGATCGACAAAATTTCCGTCTCCCTCAACGCTCGAAAACACTGTAAATAATGGCCATGGAAACCTGTCTGCGCTCGTACTGCGCTCTCTGGTGACACTACGGAACTACTTGTTAACCTGAGTTCAAAATTTCACCGCTTGGTGTCACCGGGGAGCCATCGCTCCGAAAAACCTTCAATTTCGGCCAAATTAAATCAGAGTTGGGGGAGGTTCACCTGAAAAAAAATTTGAGTGGAAAGGGTTAAACGGGAAGTATTCCCGCACCTCCCCTACTCTCCTGATTTGGCACCGTTAGACTACCATTTATTCCCGTATCTGAAAGTTGAATCAGTGGAAAACGTCGAACAAGCTGTCCACTTTTTCCTCACCAAAGTCAGTCGAGGGACTTCTGCGCGCGTAGTATCCATCTCATCATTATATAACAGCTCTAAGCGCGCCTAAAATTCGCAGGAAATTCGTGCCAGGAATTCCTTCTCTCGTGCGACGCGCCGTGCAAGCCCTCCGACCCCTTACCGTAGCGGCAGCCTCTCTCCCCCTTGCTGCGCACAGTGCGGCATCCTTATGGTCGATGCGGACAAAAATCGGTAAAAGTCACTTAACTTTAAATAATGAAGATAGTAGCACCGCCGCAGGAAAACCCTTTGCCACTATTGAAGTTAAACACTCGATGAATAAGAAAATGTTATATCTCAGGATATTTTGCGTATTTTTTGAGGAAAGTTCATTTGAAGTTGGCTATTTCGAATCACCCCTATGTTAACAATGTTAAAGCAATGTGAAATACCCAAACTTTAACTTCAAAAATGATAGAAGAAACAACTTACTCGGCCCGAAACATTTATAAAGAAACAACTTAAAACGGGACTAAGGCCGCAAATAATAAACATAAAATAAAATAAAAAACCCGGGACGTTTCGCAGGGATCACACCCGCATTTTCAACCGGCGAAAACAAGAAAATTACAAGAAGGACTAGTGATTTTTCTTGTTTTTGCCGGTTTAAAATGCGGGTGTGATCCCTGCGAAACGTCCCAGGTTTTTTATTTTATTTTATGTTTATTATTTGCGGCCTTAGTCTCGTTATAAGTTGTTTCTTTAACTTCAAATATCTGTGATAGTCGCAAAAAGTCGCAATATCTTTTATCTAAGAAAATATCGACCACCCAGAGCATTTTGCGTTTCAAGCCAGAAATCTTCATTTGAAGTTGACGTCTTTTTCCCGTGTATTTCTTACGGACCAGTGATTCTCGACCCATTTTCCGCCCACTTTCTACACTTTGAACAAGTTTTGGGCAAAGAATTTGAAAATAAACCATCATTGTGAGTCAGGAATATCATGAAGATGACAAACATCCAAAGAAAATATTCAAATGTCGATTTGTGAATTTTGGATATTTGTCCACAGATGGCCGCACTGTGCGGCGGCGCGCCGCCGCGCCGCCGCGCCGGCTGCAGGGCAGAGTCCCCGCCCCACCACCCGCACCGCGTATCGTGCCACGCTCATCGGCTTCTAGAACACAACGCAGCCGCGGCCAGTGTGGTTCCTTTCCATCCCTATCTTCAGTTTCTGCAAGCACTGCAGTCGGTACCGGGGAGGCTCCCCTTTAGTCCTCCCACAACAATCTAGAATTTTCCTAGACATAAGAAGGGCGTCACTTGGCGACGAGTAGTAACTGTTTCTGGAACTTGCTAGAACTCTCGAATTTTCATCATTCATGTGACCGTTAGTAAAACGATGACCTTTATCAATCCACTCCAGAACTTAATAGAATTTTCTCGGACTTTAGTAAGGTGTCATGACCGACAACAGCTTTTCTCGAATTTGTTAGAACTTTCTCAAATTTCCTCCAGGCGATGCGCAATTGAATTGATGCGCTCGCCGTGTTTTTTCGAGAGCTTTCTAGAATATTCCCGGACTTTTAGAAGAGTGTTGCAAGACGACGAGTGGCATTTGTCTCTGGCGTGGGGAGCAAATCCCGCCTTTATGGTCCCTACGTATCGGAAATGCACTCAGTCTTATCGCGATACCGCAATGCGTAGCGTAGACTGAGGTATTTCTGGTAGGTACGGAGGAAAGGACTTTTCGAGAACAGATGGTGGCAGCGAGAGGTGATTAAAGGAAAAACACAGATTTTCCTCTCTATGAAATGGACAGATCACCCTTGAGAGGGAGAAAAATCGGGGCGAAGACGCAGGCGAAGCCTCAGCTCCCTTCGGTCACGAATTTCCAAAACACTCTGCCCGAACTCTCTCGACCCCGCGATGCGGCGTCCGCCGATCGCGAATTCTCGCTAGTACGCGCATGCGCTGTTCGTGGTGTGTATCAGTGAAAAAAAACGGAGAGTAGCGTTGTCGAGTATCCTCCTAAAATCGAAAGATTTTATGGCGGATATTCGGAAACGAATACTTTTCCGACACTGGAACTTTCTTGAATGCAAGGAAAGCAGTAGCGATAGGAATGTGGCTCAAGTGAAGGGGGCCTGGGGGGCCGAGCCTCCGCGGCTGGTGTACTTTCCTCTCGGTACCAGACCTGCTGGAAGCCTGCAGCCTCGGTACCTGCTTGGATGGAGCGGGTGACAATGTAAGGAAGTGAGGAAAGCCCCTTACTCTACCCATAACTTCTTTGATTTTTCGTCAGTGATGAACGACTGAAGCTTCGGCAAAGAAGCTCCTCTTTTGTCGCGGATGTAAAACCCCCGCAGATCCGGCGGGAGCGGCGCGCACCTCGGCGCGTTTAAACGGCTCGCGTTCGGCTGCACATGGTCCGATTTTGTTGAGGTTTCTTTTGTTGAACTCAGAATATCCTACGAAAAATTTCAGAGTAAAGTTCTTTCAAATTGGTTCATTTTTGTAGATTTTAGAAGGGGGGCGATACTTACTTACTGAACGCCCTCGTGCTAAAATTTGAAAACCCAAAACAGTGTAGGTCGAACAATATTATTTTTCTCAAGTTGGTGAACCTCTTATTTCAATTTTGGAAAATAACAGACACATTTTTCAACATTTAGACCCTCAAGCCTTTAATGAAGCCGTAGCCCAACAAGTTTTAAATAAATTATAATTAAAGATTAAAAGTCAATTTGAGTGACCTGTAAAATGTTTTAAAGGAAGATACTATTCTCTGGTTTGTGGCTAGAAATGTCAACAACAGGAGTGGAATCGTTCAACCTTTTAGAGCCATTGCCACAGTCAACGTGGGATTCTTCTTTGACTTCATCTGGGTCACCTTTGGCTGATTCTCACTCAACTCTCTCGGCACTCTTATCAGGACATATGATAGCAGCCCTCAACAACTGACCATTTCTTGTCAAGTCTGTGATTTTCTATCCTCATCCTTCCCTCTTTTCCTCCTTTATCTGTTATGTTAAATGTAGGTTTTTTTTCTTGAAACCTCTACCATAACGTCCTAATGATAAATCTGCTTTCAAGAGTACACACATAGGGACAGCCACCTAAAATTTAGTATTCAGATCTTAGTGGGATTCGATTTACAGAGAGAAAATATCCTTAAAATCGAACATTTTTGGCTCACCAAGGCTTTTACTGTCACGTATAGAGCACTTGACATTTTACACACAGCGCTGAATATGGCTGCACACTGGCACAAATTACTGGCTTCTCTTTTCTAATTCTCACGTTCAAGGGTTGCCATCGCTTCTGATTTCAGTTTTTATCCCTTTACCTCTTTGATCTCCACATTTTGAATGCGGTAAAGAACTTTTGTGAAAACAAGTGGCTTAGAAGTCGTTTTTCAGGGAAGGTAGATAAACAGGGATTATATCAGAGACCGTTAAATTTTGACTTTCCCAATCCGTCTCTGAAAACCTTTTCAAAGTTTTTATGTAGCGGATCAACACGAATTATTTTAGAAGATCCTCTTAGATGATGTATGAGATTGTTCACCAGATGATTTAATTTTTTCAATTGAATCAAGCAGGAAAAGCAGTGTGAAATCGTTCTGGTGCTCTAGAGGTACAGCAAAAGGGAATATACCTTTAAATAACCACCCTTTTTATTCAAAATAATTGATTGGGATTGAGATGGTCAAGCGTCTATCGCATCGCTCTAAAGAAATGGCAATAAGAATTGCGAATTTCCGGGAGAGGATTTGGTTCAGCTTTATACTTACTGCCAACCTTCGTCATAACGAAACAAAATTCCCTCCGGCAGGCAGTGCTCCTACAAAATTTGGTTTTCATGCCGGCATAATTGATGACCATATTCAACATTCTTGACTTACTGCCTAAAGCCGAGATCACACGACAGCCGATTTTCGTGAAAATGACTCATCGATTCCGCTGATGACTGTTGATTACTGAAAATAGCGTGGCCAACTGTATCTAGATTCTGGCATCAACACTCAACAAAAGCACCGATGTGCCATTTTCGCCTCCGTGTGATCTCGGCTTGAGGTGGATAAAAAAGTGGATGGATGCAAACGTTGGCTAAAATTCATCAAGCGACTGAGTTCAGCACTTGCTTTCAGCAGAGCATTTTTCTCCTTCGGGTTGCAACCCTGCCGATCTGGTCAAAAAACTCCGCCAATCCATCGGCCAAATCCATTCCGCGGTAATTCCCCTAATGATGTTTCTAGTCTACTTTATTGACGAAGGAATTTCTTGTTTCGTACCATTCTTCATTGCGAGTATTGAATTTCGAGCAAGTCGGATAAAATAAGTGTTGCTCTACACATTAGGGTAATTAAATTAAGTTGATTCCTTCCCAAACATTTTCTGTACCTATTTTTTTTGGCCTAATGCAGCTTCAAAAAATTGTTAACAAAGTTCATGTGATCACTAGTCTCCCCCAAAGGAACAACTTTGGGAAGGGATATTTATTTGAAATAAATGTACTTTAAGTATTTGAACTTAAATCGAACAAGTATGAACCTCTAAAGGTACTTTTATATTTTCCTAAAAATGTTAGGCATGATTAGAATGATTTTATGTACTAAATATCCGATGAAACTATTTGATTTTTTTTTCTATTTCTATATTTTGCTAACGGGTAATATTTCTGACAATCATCAATTTCCAAGGTGCTGAAAAAGTGAAAAAGAAAGTACGAGGGTCTTCCAATAAATAAGTTTCGATGTTTCCCTTCTCTGCAAATATTATAGATGTAGCAAATCTGTCGAAAGTCTTTTATTTGTCATACTCTTAGCTTCAAAATCACCCACAATTTTTAAAATGTAACTCCCGGGTTGCTGAGGTATTAACTTCTTCTTACTTACCACGGCGCAAGACCACAAGCAAAGAAAAGCACTGCGAAGTTCTTAATAAGCTCAGAACTCTGACCAAGAGGAAGCAGCCGAGCCTTTTGAGCCGGATAGTTCTGCTCTTGCATGACAATTCTAGCCCTCGTTCGGCAAGAGTCATTCAGGATTCGTCAGAAACTATTGATTGGCAATTCTTTCGCAAATCTGTCCTACTTGCCAGGCTTAATTTCATGTGATTTTCACCTTTTCCGGGGGCTCAAATCAGATCTCGGCGGATACCGCTTTGGTAGCTACAAGGACGTCATGAAACACGTCAACAGTTGATCCAGAATCAGACAACTGAGTACTTTGCCGATAGGACTAAACAATTGGCAGTATGCTATGAAAAAAAGGAAGTTACGTAGGAATACGAAGCTTATTGCCAGAGCTTTTTCACAGAACCGAAGTTCCTTTTGCTGCGCACATTACGGATGCCTCGAAATAAAAAAATGCGCGAATGTGCAGAGTGTGCCCAGAAATTGCACTCGCGGTGTGAGGAGATGGGTGCAAAAAAAGTTAAATATCTCAGTAATCCATTCTTCTAATTTGAGAAAACTGTGACTTGTTTTGAAGCCTCAAGTATTGACTCATTGACTCGACAGCGACTCATTTTTTACTGTTTACTTACTATACTATTCGTGGAGAGAAAAAAATATCTTAACTTACCTATTCGAAGACCCTCACAAGTTAAAAAGATTAAGTGTTTCAAGTATTTGCTCAAAGTAGGTGAACAATGTTTTGGTTTTTTTCTTCTTGTTTCCCAGAGCTTGCAACTCTTTGTTAAAATAAATTTCTCTAATTTCGTTTACGAAAGCAATAAATTAATTGAGAAATGCATCGCATTTCTTTACTTCAATGGAGAAGTCTACTTATATTATCCTATTATTGTACTTTTATCATAGTATCTACCTTCCTTAATCAGTATAATCTATCGTTTTAGAATATGTGTTATTGATTTTCTTCCTTTTTGGTTTCAGTTTTAATATTGATATTTATTCCTTTTTTTATTTTAATCTGTTTTTATTATTTAAAGTATGTATTGGTTCAGCAAGAGCTGACACTTTTTCAAACAAAATAGTAAAATTGTGATGGACTATTTTTTTTTCAATAAAAAGGCAAGTACATGATAGTTGGACCACCAAAATAAGGACTCTAGAACCAGTACGAATTAATATCTAATATGCATCTCATTAGTGCACTCAATGGTCTCTCCCCTCAGTTTTGAGCTTATATAGTTTGTCTGGGACTTTAGGTAATAATTTTTGAACTCGTATGTTTTGGTGTCTTGGCAGTATGACTGGTGGTCGGAAATCAATTAATTTTTCTTTCCTGCTGATACAGACTATGCTTTTTTAATGTAACAGATGACAATTCACCACAAAAAAATGAAAGACATTTTTTTTCTAGGTCTTATAGTAGGCTGATCATAAAACTTACATTAAATCTAAGTATGTGTCTGCTGTTTCAAGGACAATGAATACATCCACACAGAGATTTTTTGAGCCTTCGTCTAATCATGTTCCCTGATAATGCAACAAAAAGGTAAAATTTCTTTGGGAGGATCCCGTGAAGCCTTTGTTGATCCGATGGACCACTAGACAAGGTACGACGTTCTAGTAAGCATTCTGATTCATGTTTCTTAACCAAAATTTTACATAGAACACGTTTGGCGCAACAAAAATTACTGAAATCAATTCCTGACCAAGATATTTAATGTTTTTTCACGCATGAATTCAAACCTCCCGCTCATTAAAACGCAATGGTCTACGTGAGTCAAATGGCGCACGAAACGTAACTGTAACCATCTCTGCCGTATGAAAATATTGCAAATTCAATTTCGGTATTTTAGCTCAGCACGTTTCATGTTTTCAACACGTTGAACAACACAAGGCAGGGAGGGAATATTACTTGATTAGGAAGCCTGCGAAAACCGCTGTAGTGCGCGATTTGACTCTCGTAGAGTATTGCATTTCTTGCCAATAAAAACGTTGATATCTTAGTTAGGAATTGCTTTCAGTACTCTTCGATGCAAGAATCATGTTCTACGTGAAATTCTGATTACGAAAAATGTATTAGAATGCTTAAATTCGTACCTTGTCCAGTGGTCCCATTGACCTCATTTCTTGTGATAGGTGATGGGTCAGTAAAGTCATTCTTTCTATTGTGTAATTCGAAAGTATGAAAGAAAAAAAGCTCACTGTCTTTTTTCTAACTTTTTCATAGCGGCAATCAGTGTTGAGAAATTCCACGCGAAAGTACAAAAAATCAGGGCATCGGAAAGCAAGGTTTGAACTATGCGCTCTTCGCTCTCGAATTTACGCGTCACGATACGTGGTGGTGTCCATTTTTGATGGCTGGGCTTCATTAAGAAAGAAAGAAAAACTGGCGAAACACAAAAAAATGGGAAACTACGGCTAAAAACAAATAGAATGCTTAGGGCGTTTTGGGGTGGTTTAAACCCTCCCACCTTGACCAGGAAACAACTATATATAAACCAAATAACCCCTCAGATCCCCATTTGTGATAACAAGAAAGAGAGGTTCGTCGCCTAATTTTGAGGTTCATTGGATGCTCATTCGTTACTGATCTCTTCTTTTAAATCTCTTAAAGTAGTTTAAGTAGTACGGAAGGTTTCATTTAGTTCTTATTTTGTTCACCTAGGGCCTTCGTCTTAGAAGTACTCTCTCAGTTTTTTCTCATTATTTACACGATTCAGTTATTATTTCCTACACGTTCACATTCCTCATGTGTGTGACATAACTTGATCCTTATCATCCAATCCGTCATGTAAGTCCATCCTTTCCTTCCTCATAAAATGCCCTACCAAGAAAAAACCCCTGATCCCGGGGGAATTCCTGGTCCTCAGTTACCAGCGACCGCTATCAATAATAACAATCAATCTTCACAAATCTCTACTGCTATTAATAGTTCAACCCTCAAAACTCAAACCCTAGATAATTGTAATGCACTCATCATCAAAAATTGAAATGATATACGATTTGAAGAAGACTCTACTAGTCCTTTTATTGTAACAATTAGCAAACCAGGAATTGGCAATGAACATCAAACCCATATAGGAGAGTTCCTATACAAAGCCAAAATATCGGGACTGAAAACGATAACAGCCTTCCATACGAAAACGTTACATGCTTCCTTCTCCTAAAATTCACCACTAGAAGAATAATAATCAATAATGTCCACTCAGATCTGGGAATAGACAGCATAGGCGAATACTTTAAAGATAAATATAAGAGAATAATTAGCGTTAGAAGAATTTTCAGGAAAAATGAAGGCGGAGCCCTTATTCCAACCGAAAAATTAGATGTCTTATGGGAAGGCACCACCAGACCAGATTACTTGTACATCTTTTACTCCAGATGCTCAACCTCACCGGTATATTTTGAGACTCTATGACAACATCAAACCACAATAAGCACTAGTTAAAAAATTTCAAAATTCTTAGTTCGAATATTCATTCTTTCCTCCCGAATGATACAGACCCTACATTTCTTATCCATCAACATGATCCTGACATAATGGCGCTCACAGAAACGAGGATGAAACCGTATTATAGAAAAAGATTCCCAGGATATAATTGTTTTCACGACGATAGATCGGACGGTTATGGAGTTCTCATAACATTAATCAAAAGAAAATATAAATCTTACCCAATTCCTCCGAACCAAAATATTTTTGCAGACTAAAGAATAGAAACTCAAACCTCTAAAATAACGAATGATGCCTATGAAAATTTCTTTCTTCATTTTCATATTTACCCGCTCAGCAAAATCTCTCTAGAAGAATTACGTAAGTTTTTTCATTTAAACGAACTAACAAACAAAAAATTCCTATTCTGGGCTGGCGATTTCAATGCCAATCATCCAGTGTGGGGATACCCTTTCGAACTGATTCTAAAGTGAACCAGTCCTGTTGAGTATAAAGTGACTATATTTGGGAAGCATAAGATTAAGACAATATGGGTAGCGGTAGAACTGAAGTGATATGGAGGCAAGAGGATGGTAGAATAGTGTTGGGTCCACACTGTTCTACACGGAAGTGAAGGCCAAAAAATTTTCAGTAGAGTCAAAAGAACTCTTATGAGCGTTAGTGCAAAATTGAGGGAGAGAGTGATCAGCTCAAGCAGTTACCAGATATTACCAGATACTTTTAGATTTCAAGATTGTATTATCACTTTAACTCCACCGCTTTTCTAGTCCAACCACTTCATTCTTGCCCTTTTTTTCACCAATGTTTATCCCATGTATGAATATTACCTTATCTTGGTCCGTGTGATATTTAATTTTGATATTTATCTTGTGTGCCAATGCAAAAAGTATGCCTCAATCCTCTCACATCAGTATTCTTTATTAGTCGTTACATTAAGGATTGAATAAATGTTTGTTATTGTATTTAGACGGTATTTAAAGCTTTTAGGTCCAATAGAACTTACTCTAGTCCAGTTTCATGACAAATTTGTTATTCTTTTTTGGTTCTTGTTGCCTAAGCTTTTACGATTGTTAGCCTTGTTTGGGTTCATATAAAAAAACCTCTGTTTACCTCAAATGACCTGTGCAACATTCTTAACTTTCTAATTTCAAAGTCTTAGCCGCAAGTATTTCGATGAATAGTCACAGGAATGCTTTTTCTATTAAACACCTAAATTTGTACATTAAGCGAGAATTATATCAAGAAGATTCGTGCACATTAGCACATTACTGTGGTGAATACCTGGGCCAATACACGTCGGCTTAAGTCATGTATCATTTTCTACTCCTCCCGCCCACTCGTAACGCATCCTCACATCTGCACCCTCCAGAAATAATTACTTGTATGCACTGTAATGTTTGACCCCCCAAACGCATTTTGCGATGAATTTTGGATGGCAACTTGTCATCTTACATCGATTCTTCTTAGGTTTTCGAAAAATCGGTGCTATGCCCACTGTGGCATTGCATAACGCAGCTCTGAATAACCTTCTTTCCTTGTAATTCACTTGTAATGCAAGCATAAACCCCCGTCCCATCTTTAGCAATACGTATTTTATGAACGATCTGGATACAACTTTCATAGTCGCCAATTGAAAAAGAGAATCCTAATGTTAAAGTGACGAATTTTGTTTGTATGTACTCAAAGACAACATTCTAATGTCACAGAATAAATAAATTATGACATCTGTGTATGATTAATTCACTGTAGCAGTCGTATTTGTTTTCGTTCCTTCTCAGTCTCCCTCAATGCTGCAGTGTTCTTTATCCATGTTCATTTTCACCTAAAACAATTTTGAGCATTTTTATTAAGACATTTGATGTATGGAGGCTTCTTTAAATTTTCTAACCATTTTTTTATTTGTTTTGAAAGGAAAACAAAAATGTGCACAAAGAGTTTTTTTTGTGTACTGCTTTTCCCCCGTGTTTAAGTGGTCGGTCCAAATACTTATCAGAAGTAAATCTCTAGTCTCCCTACAAGAAGCAGAATCGTGGTTGATCTGAGTTGTTGAATGTTCGTGCTTTTCAAAATGGCTCCTAATTTTTGCCTACCTTAACCAATGCTAGGGCAAATTATATTACGATCTCCATCTAAATGTTGAATAGTTTTGCGTCTGGCAACGTATGTGTCTCATGACGATTCTAATTTATTGTCAAATTAAAACTCATTTCTGATGAATTCCCGTACCACTTCAGCTTTAAATTTGCCATGATGTTATCATGTTTTTTTTTTGTTTTTTATTTATTCTTGAATTGCATTAATATGTGTCCTCTTCTTAATTTTATTTTTCTCTTGTACTTTCTCTAAAATTTGGGCTCTCCTCATTTGTCATTACTAATATTTTTTACATTTCTTTTTTCTGTATTTAAAATTTTGAAGAAATCAACGCTCATTTTTGTGTAATTTACTTTTGCATTTTCAATTCGAGTGAGTGCCGAAAGAAATGTTTGCAGCGAAAATGAGTTTCAGTGATAAATTTTTGCCACGTTAATTTGAATAAGAGTGTGATAAAATATTCTAGGGAATTTTCGGGCCTATCTCTGTAAATATTTTACATGGCATACGAAATATTTTGTCGGTTCTACGAATATTTTACATTTCATGTGATTTTATGTAATCTCTATTTTCTTTGCTTCGATCATTTTCTGAAGATAGTCATTTAATAAAAATGTCTCTAAGCGTGTTCGTGTATGAGCTATGTTACTATGTTTAACTTCATTTCTCCATTTTTTCTGTTCTTTCACCTTTCATGTTGTAGAAATATTTATGTAATGAAAAAGCAATCGGCACCGTAAGTTCTCATGTATTATCAGCCAAAGGAAACAGTTTTTCTCATAATCTGTTCTTTTGTTTGTATTTTCAGACAGGCATTTTATTTTCTTTTTTTCTAATCTTCATTACTTTTATGAATCTGCTCAACGTTAATGTAAGTTTCATTTTGAGTGCAAATGATTGTGGAACTCATACATTCATAGGCTGTCTGAAAGCTATCGAAATTGATGGCTTAGATTTTTCACCTAGACAGTAAGCTAGAAGTGTCTACAGAAGCGGCTAGATTCGTAGTCTCAAGCACAACGATAAAAAGTACGGTGAAAAATACATACGATCAGCTTCTAACAGTTAAGAGATTTGCAAAACTGTGGGCGGGATCGAATAAACAGGGTGTCCCAAAATCTCGTAACCCGCCCCCCCCCCCCCCCACCTTCTCTACACAGGGTGTCCCAAAAGTCCGCAGCCCCCCCCGGGTAGCTTTTGAACGGTTAGAGATAGAAAAACGAAACTTTCGGATTGTTTCTATCTTAGGGGACCATCTTCTAGGGGGTATCAACATCTTGGTGAGGCGGTGAATTTTTAAGGGGGGCGGGGAAGGGGGGCCCCAACTTTGTTTTAAATGGTAACCCCTATTTTGTAATAATCACTGGAAAGAACATAAGAAACTTTGCATTTTGGCGCAAACCGCAGATCATTATCTTCATTTTTGACCTAGTTATGATAGGTCAAAGGTCAAATTTGACCTATTTTCAAAGAATCATAACGCCGGTTCAAATTATCGTAGAGAAACAAATGAAACGGGATTATTTACCAATTTCGGGCTAAACCAAAAAACGAAATTTAAGGTGATTTAATTTGACCGCTTAAATTTTGTTTTTTTCTAAACTTTGCCCAAGAATTGGGGACTTGAAAACGCAATGTTGAACTACTTTTTAACTTGCCGAGTTAATGTTGCGGCATAGTAATGGGAAATTGGCTCATTCCGCGGGAAAATCGTATGACCTTTGAACCGACGTATTTGGGGGTCCGAAACCCCCCTTAAAATTAGTTTGAAATGATTTTTATGAATTTTACCCAAAAGTGCTTACAATTTGGTAAATATTCCCGTTTTATTTTTTTTTCTTCATTAATTTGAACCGGAGTTATGATTTTTTGAAAATAGGTCAAATTTGACCTATGACCTACCATAACTCGGTCAAAAATTAAGATATTGATCTGCGATTTGCGCCAAATTGCTCAATTTATTATGTTCTTTCCAGTGATGCATCACAAAATAGAGATTACCATTTGAAAGAAAAAGTTAGGAGCCCCCCCTGCTCCCCCCTCAAAAAATTTTACCCCCTTAGAAGGTGGTCCCTTTTGAGATAGAAACATTCCCAAACTTTCGTTTTTCTATCTCTAACCGTTCAAANGGGGGGGGGGGGGGGGGGGGGGGGGGGTTACGGAATTTTGGGACGCCCGCTAAAGTAAGTGATGTCTCAACAATCTGGAGCGCCGTTGTCTCCTTTTGACCTGAAGAATCGAACCATGAAGTATTTTCTGTTGAGCTCATGACACCCAGATCAAACATTTATATTTTTTCGTATTGCTGATTTTTAAGTATCATCCTTCAACCCGAAAATCATGGCTAGTTTTTAAATAATTTTTTGTCACCTTTCCTTTTTTGTCTGCTCATTTTAGTGTATTACGATCTGGAAGAAATGCACAGTTTTTTTGTTTTTTCTTTGGCTAAGTCAGGATCAGTCGATGGTAACTTTTTTCAGCTGCTTTTGTTTTCACATATACCCTTTGCACACTACTAAGTTCCAGAAGTCTGACAGCCTGTTTTTGATGTTACTTGTTTGTATATTCTTTCTGAAAGTTCTGATCAGTCGTAGATAAATCTTCTGCTGTAGATACCGAAAGTATATTGTAATTCAGCTTTTTTCACACGTTTTTCCTCGAAGAATATTTGCTTTTAAAGTTTTATACCTTGTGCATTTTGTGGTGTTCTGATAAAATCTCATTTTCTCACGACGAATGCAAATTCATGGGTAGGAGTGCAATTTGGAACAGATTAAAAACTTATTTGATCCTATCCATTCAATAATTATAATTGGTTGTGAACCGTATTTTTTGTCTTTCTGTTAGCTATTGCTTTATTTTAGTGAAATTCAATTTCCTCCAAGGTGACACAGGTAGATACATTTTGTTAAGTAAGTATGAATAAAATACTTTAGGAATAGATCGTTAGACTATTACTCATTCAACTTACTCCTTATTATTGGATTGTTGCTCGGTGTTATTGTTGACAGCTGTTCATTTAAATTGTATTGTTTCTGTACCTATTTTTCTTGTGTATTAGGTATGAAACAAACATATCTGATCTTTTAATACTCATTTATTTGTGTCAATTCCTTGTTATTTATTATCTATTTTCTTTTAAATAAAACTCACATGTTCTTCGGAACCTTGGTTTTTGTTTAATCACAATAGTCCAGTCAATCTATGCGTTTTTTTTTGCGAAAATCTGAGGAGAAAAAAGTAAGACGGATTACCATGTAATTTTGGTTGCTGAATCAGAATCTGATGTTTGCCAACAAAAATTTTGTCTGAAAAATCTTGTAAAAATGAGAGAAAATCACACCCCCCCCCCTAAAAAAAAATCTCGCTTATTGCGGGGTTTTCGACAAAATGAAGTGTTTTTATTCTAAAAGAACGTAAAATTTCATACTATGCGGCCTTTAGATTTTTGAAATCGAGCACTTGGGGCAAGAGTTATGGGCGATCGCCTTAGGGGTGGTTTTAGGGGTTAAATTTTTGGTAAACTTTTCTCCATAACAACGCTGTAACGCCGTTGGAAGTGAGAAAAAAATTTCGGAAACTGGTTTACACATTCCCCTTTTTGTAGCAGTGGCCCTCCCGCAAGAAAAATCCCCCCCCCCCCCCNAAAAAACCCCCCCCCCCCCCCCCGCGCCCCTGGCCGGTCATCCAAAGTGCACTTTTTTCGATGAAATCACCCTAATTACAGGGGTCAGAAGTGTATGCATCCATCATAGAGCACTTGCTTTTCCAACTCCCGTCACTCCCCTAAACCCCATTTTGACCCTCCCCTCCCCTCCCGCCATCCCAAACCCCCTAAAACCTTGTTGGCCATGTAAGAGTCACCGAACCACGTAATTTTGAAAGCAAACAGACTTTTTCCTCGCTTTCGATTTTTAT